GAGGGCCGGGGGCTGCGGGCAGCGGCCGCCCCTGCCCCGGCACCGCCCTGCCCCGCGCCTCCTCTCGGTGCTGCACAACGGGGACGGGCGCAGCTCTCTCCTGCCCTCTTCCCTTTGCTCTCCCTCTCCTTTCTGTCGCCCCCTTCACCTGCTGTCCCGGAGCCTGCAGCGCGACCCGCCGCGGGCATCGCCGGCGCGAAGCCTACGGTCAGTCCTGCCTGGCAGGAAGGGACATGTGCCCCCCGGCCCGGGTTGCTTGTTAACAGAAGTACTGAAAAATGAGGTGAATTTAGTTCATCTGTAGAAGCTCGTGGTGGAGACCTGTCGCTCTAGCTTGGGGCAGCACAGAAGGAGCCATCAGGTGTGTGTGACAACAGCTGCGTGCATATACTGTATATTGCGGACTAAACAGTCCCTGACAAACAGCCCACAAGTCGGGGAACAGAGCCCAGACCCAGAGCTCTGTTCGGGGTCGCCGTAGCGAGTTTGAAATGGCTTGGACAGCACGGGAAATGCCGAGGGTCGCTGCCGGGTCCCTTGGAGCGAGAGCCCGGGGTAGAAGCAGGAGCCCTGGCCCCTACCCCTGACAAGGTGATCTTTCTCTGTTCATTTTGCAGTATTTCATACGTGGTGGCACTGCACCAACAGAAACAGTGAAGATTTCTTCTCTTTCAGTGCGGATCTGGTGGTTGAGCCATTCGTCTGCCTTGGCAGGGCACGGATCCAGGCTTAGAAAGGATGCATCTGCTTCTCAGGGCCCTATCCGCATGGCCAAAGTCTTCTTTATACCCTTTCAAACTGTGTTGGTATAGTTTCCCTCAGCTTTTTCTTTCAAAGTTTCCAGTGAGGAAGTTCCTATGTCATGAATTTAAGCATGCTCTGAAAGTAAATTTGCTTTTGCTAGCTCTTTTTTCAGGCTCATCTGTCTATGGGTTGAGAAGCACCATCCTCTTAACAATAAAAAGATGGGTACTATAGCTTCTTTAAAAATCGCTTCGTTGTCATGTAGTCAGCACTTTTAATCTGTGCTGTGGTCTAGATTGAGACTCCACAGACAAAATGTGCATGCTGGAAGCATTGATGCTGATGATTCCTTCAGGTTTCTGGGAGTTAGGAGGTTTTATGGGGTGCTATTCAGCTAGAGAACACAAGAAGTGCTGTGAGAGGGCATATTGAATATCCAACCCAATGGACCAGGCAAGAATTGAAGAGTAAAGCAAGTGCATGGTAATACTTCCCTGGTTCACCTTCCCAGCCTCAAGTGTGCTGCAACTCAGGAATTTCTGAAGTCAGCTGTGTTGATAAATGTGGGTGCCTGTGCTTTGTCAGTTTAAAGAACATGTGGCATTTAGTGTCCTATTTGGGAAATGTGAAACAGCACTGTAGCTGTTACGTGAACTGTGCAGCAAATACAAAGTCACTGCAGAGACATGTCATCAGCTAATGAGCTGGGACTAACAGCAGCTGGGGAAACAGAGAGGCTGCAGTTTGTCTTTCTTCTAGCAAGGAGGATAAAAGAAACAGGGAAAAAGGTTCATATGAAACCAGGAAATAAGAGGCAGGTAGCACCTACCAGGTACTCAGTAGTCATCTCTTGTTCTTCTATTGTAAGGCTCCAGGAGCACCAGAATTATATAAAAAAAGAAAGAAACTCTTGGAGAAGAGCTTTTTCAAGAGGAAAGGAATATACTGGAGATCCAACCAAAGTGGCAACCGATGATGTGGTTCTATCACAATTACTTTAAATTATTTCGGACCAAGCTCAAATTTAGAACCCACAGGTTCTAAATTCTTGGGTTTTCCCTGTTTTGGTATTAGTGTTTGTAAAGGATGGAGTTGTCTAAAAATTTATGAGGGGAAAAAGAAGTTTTCCTTGATAGGCAGATGTCCTGAAAACACTGTTCTTGCTTTAGTTAGTCATGTGTCCCCAAGAGCACTACCATTGTCCACTACAATGTGGTAACAAGGATGTGTGGCTAAGACTGTGGAACTGTTTCTTTCAGTGGAAGTTCATGCCTAGACTGGAAAGATCAAAATGGTGTAACATCTTTCACTATATTTTGATCACCTTATTTGTTTCTCTGAGGTCATATCAATAGAGCTTCCATCAATCTGAGGGCTCAAAAGTTCAGGAATGCAATCTTATCACTTTTGTATGAAACAAGAGTGGAACACATTGGCATTTTGTGGCTCCTTTCTGGCAAAAAGACAAGCTGAAAGTCAAACATATTTTCTTTAAAAGCTCAGTATCACCTATATTTTCTTATATTACACTGATTGATATGTGACCAAGAAGAGACGTTGCATGGAAACTAACACAGGCAAGTAGGGATCTTGTATCTAATGAAGATTCCTAAAGTTCTGAATTTTAGTGTCCTGCAGATTCTTACTAAACTGGTTTAAATCACTAAACTCCTGTCCAAATCATAAAGAGTGCCTGGACAAAAATAGGGATGTTTATATGTTAAGTAACTTCGCTTCTTTTTATTGGTAATAATCTCTTCCTTGTACTTGAATGTTTTTTTTTACAGTAAATTTGGTGTCTAATTAAGGCTGTGACTGTTTTGGTAGAGACAGCACATTGCAGTTTCCCAAATTCTAATAAGATTTTTTTTGACTGAATAATAAGTGACATTTTTTAAAGGAAATACTTCTAATAGATTTTTATGCAGCATTTTTTGTGTGACTTCTGGGTCTTGTTTACAGTGTCTTTAATGCCCTTCCCTATACATTTACTTTTTCATTGATTTGACAATTTTCTATTCAAATACTTATGCTAGTTTATTAAATATTGTGGTTATAAGCTCTGTGAAATCGTCAGCTCACTCTGTTAATTGCTGTGTAATGGTGTGCAATCATTTTCTCCTGCTGTTATGTTGCTGGGTAGGCCTGTCCCAGGTTAGACTATAATTGTCCACCTCACAGTGGAAATGCATTAAACTTGCAGCTCCTATTACTGCATTCTGTACCTATCTTAAGGTGACACTTTAAACATTAAGCACATTTCCAACGATGGAAGTGTAAACCCCTTTCTTTTTGCTGGGCGATATTAGAATTTCAGTTTCTTGCTGCAGTCCTCCATTACCTGTAGGTATGCTCTTCAAAACTCCAGCTTAGATTATGCTTTTCCCCCATCAGCATGGTCTTCAAAACTAACCATTTTTTAAGGTAATTAAAGTATGAGAGAGTCCATCAGCAAGATGAAATTTCTTCTATATAGAGTAAAAAGAGTATCAACTTCTTCCTTCAGAAAGATGTGAAAACTTAATTTCTTCAACTCTGCTTTTAGTTATCTCCATTCCAACACACTCATAGGTAGCTAAACAAAGAAATTAGAAATCACATCACTCTAGAGACAGATGTGCTTTTAACTTTGAGAATAATGTGAAAGGTTTGATTTTTGACTTTGATTTTTGAGCATGCCAAATAAAAAGGTATCTCTTCATGATGAACAGAGCTTATGGGTAATCTGCTATTAAGAATTACTGTTGTAAGAACTCATTTCTGTCTTGCCATTACAGCAAGTAGTTTTCAGTACAGTGTGGACAGCTCTCAGTTCATGTTCATCAGTAAGCCTTTATTGCAGTAAGAATATATCTCTTCATCGCTTTATGCTCTGAGGCATTTCTCTTCATTTCTTGTAAATGAGCAAATAAACCATCTAACTCCCTTCTCTTAATATCCATAATCTGAGGGGCTTTTATTTCTGGCTTCCTAAACAGCAGACACAGTAGGCTTTCTGTGCCTGATTTCTGTGGGTGGCCAGGAACGTGACAGATAGACAACTTTTAAATTGAACTGCAATATAGTAAATAGCCAAGATTGGGGTAATGGGATTTCCCAGCTACTGCCATAAATTAAAACAGATTTGCAGCAATAGGTTTTGCTATCCTAAAGATTATAGACAATTGAATTTTTTCACATTTTGTTATGCTTTGATAATAAAATGAAAATGTACTGCAAAGTAAACTCTAAAAAGCACAATTGGTGGCATTTTCCATATTTCTTACCTCTTTATCTTCTGTTAAGTACTTCCAGACTATTAAAGAGTTGGTGGTTTTTTTCTTGTTGGTTTGGTTTTTGTTTTTTTTTAATATCTGTGTCCATTTCTAGTCCTTATGCTGATCTGATAAATTTGTAAATAAACACTAGACATGACATATCTGCATTCTCTATGCATAGCATAACAGACAGTGTCATGATCAAATGTTTCCTGCTCTCAGTGGTTTTTAAGTTATTAAATTTCTCAAATGTTATTAGTTCTTTCATATACTTTCCCTAGTAGCAGTGATTAACTAACATATAAATACCAGAGCAAAATCACTGCAAAATGACCTATGATCCCATCATCCTGTTTTCCACTCTACAGATTTTCTGTTCTGTCTCCATGGGATGTTATTTGAATGCATTTCTGAAGTGTATTAAACAGTAAGACTGATACCTCTGTGGTTCTCTCTTCCATCTTTTTCCTCCAATAGGAAAATTTGTTTTTGTTACTTAAAACCAATATTTGCTTGTTAGTTATTGATGACATGTTTCAATAAGTTTTTTAACGTGTAAAGCACATGGCAGCTTTTTAGGAATCTTCTTGCATGATGTTCAAAATAATTCTTGGGTCAGAAAAAAGAAAAAAAAACAACCTTTGTTAAAGACCAGGGTAGCTCTCTTGGGCCTTTGGAAGAGATTTATAAGTCATAATTTAAACTTTAAACTATCAGGACCAAGCTAGTGAATTTGTGCCTTCTTCCCAGACCATCATATGCCTGATCATAAATGCAAGGTTTTTAATTCGACTAGAATCTAGAAAATATGAGAAGGACATAATGTAGTCCAGGAGGGCTAGGGTTTAGAGACGCACTACTTATTTGTAGCAAGGTGTATTATATTGCTGTAACTTTGATCTAAGATGATAGAACAGAGCAGTAACTGAAGCCATATTACTATTTTCATTCAAATTAAGTGAAGTCAGTCCTCCGGCGACCAAATAGAAACTTCACTTAGCTAACAATTATATTAAAAATGGAAATCTTGCATTGGAAAAAAACTCCAAGTCAAACATGAGGTGCTATTTGCATTCATGTAAAAGTTTTATCTGTAACTCAAGATAGAAAAAGTTTTCAAGTATCCATTTATTTTTGAAGAGACTGGGTATGTCTTACAGCAGCCTCTCCTTCATGTTTTCATGCTAGTTGGGACTACTCTACCTTCCACTCCATTTGATTTGCTAGCTATTTCTTCATGACAAAGAAAATATGCTTGTGACTGTTTCAGTTCCATTTGGATGATCATACTGACAGCCCAGCACATGATGACTGGAGAAGGACCCCATTTAGAAAGCTAGTGAGTCCTGGCAGAGAGCCACCAAACACAATGCAGTCTAGATTTAGAGCAGATCTTATCTGCCAAGATTGTTAACTACCTCCTGCAGGGGTGGCTTGTCTGGCCAGTAGTCATATCTAAACATAGAGCAGGATTTGAAGTTTGCATGATCTAATGAGCTGGTAGGTAGCTTTGACTACTCTGGAAAGTTGTAATTTTCTCAAAGATTTCCTCACTCAAATGTTTCTGTTATTACAAATATTTAAAAAATAATACCAAGGTACATACAATGATTATGTCAAAATGCACATTACAAAAACTAGAGATAATGATTCTGTTTTTCCTACCATTACATGCAGGATGTAATAACCCTACTGAAATAGTTAAGATTTCTGTCACTGGCTTTGCTACAAACAGGATCTACTAGTAGGAAATATGTGAAATGCTTTTAGTGGCAGATGATCTAGCATGAGAAACTAGTGCAGCACTAGCATGGATCCAGTAATTTTCCTTGTGAACTCAAAAGAGAGATGCTGGGCAACATTCCTTTCATGCCCATTTCCGCTTTCTTTTGATATTTACTTTAGATGAGTGCATTGAGTCATTGTAACATAGTATCAGCTCAAACATCAGCACTGTGCTGATTTGTGTAATTGTTTATCTTGTTTTCCATTCCTATAGGGATGGCAGTTCCTCTCTTGACAAGGTACAGTTAGTACAAACTAATTCCAGAGGAAGAAAACGCAGCTCTGGCCAAGGCATTTTTTGCACTTGATGCTGAAGACAAAGTCTCAAGTCACTTCCTTTCTTAGTCAGTGTTGCAGAGTCTCTGGGACTTGCTGAGAGCTTTTACTTTGTAGCCTAGGAGTACCAATATTTCAAAGTTTTGGTAATTTGTCTTATATTCTCTTTGACATTTTGCCTAACTTTTCTGAGCTCCCAGATTCCTGCCTGTTTCTCCATGGTATGCATGGCTATGATGTAACAGATCATAGAATATTTTGGGTTGTCCGGGACCCTTAAGGTCACATAGTCCAACCTCCTGCAATGAGCAGAGACATCCTCAACTATATCAGGTTGCTCAGAGCCTCATCCAACCTGATCTTGAATGTTACCAGGGGTGGGGCACTACTGCCTCTCTGGTTAACCTTTTCCAGTGTTTTACCACCCTCACTGCAGAAAATGTCTTCCTTATATCTAGACTTAATCTACACTCTTTTAGTTTAAAACCATTATCCCTTTTCCTTTCACTACTGGCCTAAAAAAGCCAGTTCTCATCTTTCTTTTAAACACCCTTTCAGTATTGAAAGGTTTTTCAATACTGCAAGGAGAAGTGATCTCCACAACCCCAACTCTCTCAGCCTTTTCTCATAAGAAAGGTATTCCATCCCCCTAATTATTTTTGTAGCTCTCCTCTGGACTTTTCTTCAAGAGCTCGATGTGTTTCCTGTGCTGAAGACTCCAGAGACAGATGCAGTGCTTCAGGTGGAATCTCACCAGAGCTTCTCTCCCCCATGAGTAGAGGGGTAAAATCACCTCCCTCAACCTGCTGGCCACACTTCTTTTTATGTAGCCCAGAGCACAGTTTATTTTCTGGGCTGCAAGCAGACATTGCTTGCTCATTATAATTTTCTTTTCATCCATCAGTACCCCCAAGTCCTTCTCAGCAGGACTCAACCCAGTAATCTCCCAGCCTTTATAGATTCCAGATATTGCCCCAGCCAAGGTGCAATATGACTTTATTGGACCTCATGAGTTTCACATGGACTCACTTCTTGAGCTTGTCCAGATCCCTGTGGATGGCATCCCATTCCTTAGGAAAGTCAACTGCACCACTCAGCTTGTTGTCTGCAAACTTGATGAGGCTGCACTTGATGCCACTGTCTAGGTCACTGACTCAGAAGTTAGGAGTATGGGTCCCAATACAGACCCTTGAGGGACACCACTCATCACTGCTCTCCATCCTGGCATTGAGATATTGACCATTACTGTCTGGATGCAACCATACAACTAATTCCTTATCCACTAAGTACCAAGTTCCTTCCAATGGCTCCTTGTATGTTTCTTATTGCTGCTATATGGTCTTATCCAAATTTCCAAAGAAAGCAAGGTTCAAACTGTTGTTCGATAATTGCACTTTTTTATATAGGCATCATGAGGACAGCTAGGACCTTCTGAGGGATGTCTAAGCTGAGGTGAAAGAATTGGAATATCTGGGACAAAGGAGTCCTCCTACTCATGGGGTCCTACTTGCAGGAGAAGAATTCAGTCGGACAGGCTTTTCATCTGAGTCATGTAGAAGTGACACCCAGTTTCTACCCATGTATTACTATATAAAAATAGTAACAAGAAAGCATGGCAAATTATATCCCAAAAGGGTTCCATGAGGCCAGTTAGGGATAATATTACTGATTGTTTGTGAAAAGCATTTCTGAAATGTGGCAGATCATTTATGAGATGTTAGAAAATAAAACTCTAACATAGATCCTTACTGTGTAATGCTTATTCTTTAGATAGACAGAAATGTGGAAGAAGGGTAGGAGAAAGAATTGCAGTGAAACCTGAAGTAGTTGCATTGTTCCCTTCTAGCACTTAAGACTGCTTTTCTGGTGCTCAGCTCCTTGCACTTAATTCCCAGCAGAACACGACCCTCACAGGCACACACAAACTCAGATATACGCTATGTCTCAGCATAAGCTGAAGGATTCCAGTACTTCATTTTAGTTCCAAAAGATTCTACAGTGCACTCAGTGCTCTTAGAAATGGAAGGAAATTCGATGAAAAAACAAAGGCTATTTTGACTGCACTGTACATTCTTACTTGTTCTCTCGAGCAATTATTCAAAGTGCGTATCCATTTTCAATAGATTTCCAGCTGCTAAATAAATTATTACATTTATCATTGAATTTTTTTTTTTTTTTTGCATAACTATGCTTTTCCACAGTACATTAGTGTAAGATAAAAATAACAGGCATTTACCACCGGCTGTTCTTTGGACATTGAAAAAAGTCTATTTGCATAATAGATACTGCATATCCCTATAAAGGACAAGAAAAAGCTTTAAAGAAAGGTCACAAAACCTGTTCTTCTCATCACTTCTTCAAAACTAATAATTGGGCAGCAAAACCTCAACTCTCTAGACATAGCAATGTATATATGATTCCCTTATTATTTTTTTTCAGACTATGATTAGTTTTCACATATTTAGTATTGATACACAATTATTTTCAGTGAGATTATAGTTCTGATTCACCAAATGGACATATTCTACCATATGGACAGTCATATTGAAGTTGTTAGCAAGCATAGGTCACTTGTATTCCTGCATTTGATCCACTCCTTGTACCTGCTGTGCTTTGAGCAGGACACCTGAAAAGGTCTGTTTTGGCAGCATGAGATTTGCTCTTCATTTATATTAGTGAAGTGTTTGGTTTGCCACGGCCTCCATTGAGACAGCCAACAAAGCAGCCAGTGCCTCATAACATTCCCTGCCCTGGCTGCATTTCTATTCCCTCGTTTCAGTCAGTTGTACTTAGCAATGCATGATCAGAGTCCTTTCATTGTAGTAGAAAACATACACCAATTTCAGGTATGCAGAGATTTGAAAACAAAGTAATTAAATTGAGTTATCATACTATGCTTGAGCTTAAAAGAATACTTCTGCCAAGATGCAAAAAGTACTTCTCTCAAGATGCAAAATTTTTATGTCATGCCACACCTACTTCTGTTTTAACAGAAACAGGACCAAGATGTAGTAAATTAATATGACAACACAATAAAGCCTTCAGATTTTTTTCCTACTGTACTGCAGTTGTACACAGTAGAGTTGTTCATTGCACTTTAGAGGAGCATCACGAGGCACAGTATGTTGGAAACAAGAATTTTTTTTATCTTGTGTTTTGTTGTGAGTTTAAGAAATTTCTCCTCATTTTTAATCAAATATTCCTTTAGTACTGATTAAACCTTCAGGTCTCTCAACCTGTCTTCACATCAGAGGTGTTTCAGCCCTCTGATCATCCTCTGGCCTTTTTCTGCACTGTCTGCAGCAGGTCAATGTCCTTCTCATGTTGAGGACCCCAGAGTAAGACACAACAGTCCAGGTGATGTCTCATAATAGCGGAGTAAAGGAGGAAAATCCCCTCCCTCACCCTGCTGCCTGTGCTACTTTTTGTGTATCCTAGGACACATTTGGCCTTCTGGGCTGTGAGTGCATGAAGCCAGGTTTTGTCGAGCTTCCTGTCCACCAATACATGTATTTCTTTCCAGGACACCTCTCCATGCATTCTCTCCCCAGCCTGTACCTTTGTTTGGGATTGCCCTGATTCAGGTGCAGGACCTTGCACTTGGCCTTGTTGAACTTTATGAGTTCACAGACTCACCTCTTCAGCCCAAAAAGGTCCCTCTGGATGTCATCCCTTCCCTCCAGTGTGTCAACCACAACACACAGATTGGCATCCTTGGTAAACTTGCTGAGGTGCATTCAATTCCATGTCACCAATAAAGATGTTAAACATCACCTGTCCCACTACTGACCCCTGATGAGTCCCTCATCACTGGTCTCTGATTGGACATGGAGCCATTGACCACAGCTCTTTGAGTGCTACCATCCAGCAAAGTCTTTATCCACAAAATGGTCCATGCATCAAGGGTTCAGCAACATTAGAGTATATTGTTTTTCTGAAAGACCTTACGTTGCCACTTACTATTTTTCTGACCTTTTGTCTTCCAACGTAGTTCTGTTTTTCGGAAGTCTTCCTTTACCATTGCAACCAGCTTAGCATGGTTAAATAGAATCTGTGTAAGGCTGAACTCAGATTCCACTTTTTCTTTTGTTTCCTCTAAGGCTGTATATGGAACTATCAGAGTAGCTACAAGCTGATTATTCCTTTCTTTTTCTAGTGCAGAAGACACATGTATTTTTATATTTGCTGAAAGCATCCATATGGCCAGCAGATGTACTTAAAAGGTATTTAACAAGTGGTGTAAATTCACTTCATTCAGTTATCCTTTAGTGATTGCATCTAGGCTAGGTGTATATTGCCTGTTTTAAATTACTATGGATTATCTGAAGTAGAATCATGCTTACTTGGAGTAAACTTGGACTGGATGAACAGAGGGAAGTACTAAATTCAAGTGTAAGGTTTGTCATTGGACTTTAATCTTCAAAATTGTCAGAACAGCTTCTGCTTCAATTTTGGTAAGCCTTATATTATTTGACTCTAGTACTGAAGTTTTGCTTGACAGTAAGTAAAAGGTCATATAAAGTTCTGATTCTCCTGTTGTTTTTTGTTTCAAGTTACACTGGTATTGTTAAGATAGATATATCTGTATATTAAATTCTGCTCAAAATTTTATTTTTGTGATTTAATTTATCAACGGAGATGAAACCATCCCTAACTTCCTCTTAGTAATTTAAAACCTGGTTGACAAAGATCAAAAAATACATAGAAATCACCCATGCCCCGAGATTCCACTAACATTTTTAGCTGGAGCATCACTTATATTTCTTAAACTTTATATTTGAATGTTTTTATCACTTTTTTCTTGCCTTAACATGTGTGTGCACATGTGCATGCTTATGTGGCTGTTTTTCTCCCTTTCACTCTTTCACTCATTACAACATTAACTTTCTTCTAGTTCTCTGAATTTTTCTAAGCATTTCACCAGTTAGGAGCAAACTTAATTATTAACATTGCTGTCTATCATGTCTTTCATTTATTTTTCTAATAACTCTTCAACCTGCCATTTAAAAATAAATGTTTAATTTTAGTTCACACAGTTTACTATCTGCTCATATTATTGATTTAATGGAAAGTATTTCATTTTACGTAATGTGAAAACACTGTTACTGTTTATGTTTTCCAAATATGCAGTAGAAACATTTCTGCTGTTCCACATTCTTTTATACAATTCTATTTTTTCACACCTAATTGCAAAGCAGTATTAGTGTTAGAAAGATCGTTCTCTGATTATCTTCACCTTCTTCATTTCCACAGGGTATATCTATTTGCCTTTTTTTTTCTTCCAAGTTCTTGAACTATTTAGTTCTTCAGTTATGCACTTACTGTTGCCAGCTTTTGTGCATTTTTTTTTCTCTCCCATTTGTTTCATGTTGTATTGTGCTGCTTTCTTTTCTTTAGAAGATGGCAAGAAATGAGTTGGGGATGCAGATAAGGAGCAAGTCTGAAGCGGTATAGCTGAGACAGGTCATCATAATCATGAGTGTGAAATTCCAGAGCAGGGAGTCTTTTGTTCCAAGGATGTTTTCACAGGTGTACTGGATCTGGCCCAGAATTAAGTTGATTATCTACATAGCAGTGAAACTGTGCTGTGTTTTGTGTTTGTGACTAAAACAGTGTTGAAAACACGCCAATGTTTGGGCTATTGCTCAGCAATGTTTGCACAGGATCAGGGATGTCTCTCTTTCCCTTTCTGCCTACATTCCCATACCAGCAAGTAGGCATGAATTTGGGAGAGGACAGAGCTGGGACAGCTGACCCCATATAGTCCATAACATCATGCCCACCAATAAAACTGGGTAGAGGAAAAGGGTGAGACAGAGTGTATTCAAAGCTGTTTATCAGAAACTGATGGTGTACTTGTGGGCTTTGGTGAGTGGTTCCCTCACCATATTTTCTTTAATTCTTACTTATTACATTTTATAACTCTCACTTTTTCTTTTCTTTACTTAATAAATCATCTTTATGTTTACCTACTGGTTTTCTTTCTTTTTCTCCTATTCTCTCCACTGTCCCACTAGGGAAGGAGGCAGGGGGAAGTGAGCTAGTAGCTGTGTGGGTGCTTACTTGCTGGATGTGGTCAACCCACAACAGCAGGATGGAAGAAAAATACACTAAGAGCACAATCACTGAGTAATGGGGTTTTGAGGTTTGAGGGAATGAAGTACTTTTAATGAGAAGCAAGCCAGGGAAGAGGCATTTGTGCATTCAAGGAGGACAGGATGAGAAAACCGTGACTGTTTAACCTTGAGAAGAGGAGGCTCAAGGTGGAGGATGGAATTGATGTCTGGTAGGAGGAGTAAAGATGAAGACAGAATCATTGTGATGTCCAGTGAGGGACAAGAGGCAATGGGTACAAACTGAAATATGAGAAGTTTCATATAATTTATGAAAAAAGAAAATATTCCAGAAGGAAAACATTCCAGATACAGATGAATGTGCTGAAGGCTGATTCCTCATATCTGAGTGTAAAATTGATACTGTACTATCAATTAGTAGTATCAATATATGGTTAGTTCAAAGCTCACAGCTTTGTTGGAAACTGGGTGTAAAACAACAGCCTTAACACAAGTCTATTTTGTAGTAGGAGTGCTGATAGATTAATTTCATCCACAAGTATCAGAACTAACATTTCAAGATGTCTCATTGTCCTGATTCAGTCTGCTCTTTAGACTCAACTCACTGGTTTTATTTCTGGCTTTTTGATTTACTGACAGTTCTGTAGGTAAGAGTGTGTTTATCTTCTACTGCAGGCAGCCTCTGGCTTTCAGTGGGCAGGCCTGATTAATCTTGTCTACTGAGATTATTTGGTAATTGTTGCTATTCAGGTGTGTATTTCATCAAGGGCATCTTTATTGCCTGGTTAAAAAGAAGAAATAGGAGTAGTCCATGTTTTTTTTATATATATGAGTAAAACACTACACTTCTAAAAAAATGTATTAGCTTCCTCTTAAGACAGCAAGTGCAACATGAAATTTGGGGGAGATATATAGAACACTTAGGCTTTTGGTTACTTTAATAGAAAAGTAGATGATTTTCATTTGATCAACTTAGTGACTTCAAAACTTTGCTCACTGGTTTACTCTATGAAAAAAAAATGTTCACGGATACTTTGTAGTGTAGCATGGGTTTCAACATGAGCTGAAGAGAATATTTTTTGGTGTGTAGGTGCATGAAGACTGTGATCTCTTTGTAGTGTATACTGCCTCCCTCTCTGTGGATTCTCATTAGCTGAACATAAGGAGACAGCTCTGCAAGAGTGGCAGTACACACAGAACTGTTGCATGAACAGGCAGTGCTTTGCACTGTATTTCTGTACTCTCACATTGCACATGATGATTTTTCATCTGTGAATTTTTGAATTTTATTTTTACTTTAAAGATAGCTTGGGGTGTGTTGGTGTGAAATACTGAATACTGCATCTTTCTACATAAAATTGAGGGTCTCAGACTATTCCACTGAGGAAGATAATACGGTGATTATGTTAGACATCTTCAGTAGCAGTCGTGTTTATTTACAAAAGTACATAAAACTGTTTTGCCAGAAGTACAGAAGGGGTTCACAAGTCGTCTTCTGCTGCTTGTTCTGGTTGTGCTGGTCTTCTGCAACAGACCCTCCCACATTCCTCAGTGGATCTCAGCCACATTCCTGTCTACCTTGGCCTGAAGCAGCCAGATACCTGATGCCAAATTTCAGAAACCTGCTCCAATGGAGTTACCTGACTTTTCCCAACGATATATTGAGGCTGTGTCTAGCAACTTCGTTTTCAAACTGTCTTCAGCAATGACCAGAACTAGTACATACTGCATTAAAACTCAGTCATAATGCAACGCAAAGAGAATCCTGTAAAGGTTTTCCTGGGATGTCAGCAATACCAGCACACTGACACTAGGGACCACATCCCACATTAAAAAGCTTTGGTTGACAATTCGGCTGGAGTGCAATGTCAACAACTCTGGCAGGCTGCACAGAGGCATTTTGCCCGACACAGTGACCATACAGACTGTGTGTGCACCCTGGAGCCTCAGCATATCCCCTTCCCAAGTAAGTAAATTGTGGGTAGATCTCCTTAGCCTCCCAAATATTAGGGTTTTCAAAGATCGTCCTGAGCGATCTGTCTGTTATTGCCAGCCCCGTGCTTTTGCTTTGGGATAATAAATACCCAGATTTGACCGCCCGTTTCCCGTATTTGTAAATTTGCATAATGCTGGAGTCTGACCGATGGGAATTGAGCGCTGCTCGGGTTTCGTTCACCTCGCCGGCTGGATAAGCCCCTGTGGCTCCCCGGCCACCCTTTGCCAGGGTGAATAAACACCCGCGGCACACCGCGCGCGTTTCGGGTCCTTGCTGGCAGGCTCCGGGGGAGGGGCGGGCACGGACGGGCACGGG